ACAATTGCTGGAAATCCAGTGACTTTAATGCTTCTCCAAACTCCTTTCGCTAAAAAAAAAAAAAAACACAGCATCATTAGATACACATGCATACACACTGTGTTTTTGCCGGCCGCCTGTTGCCATCAGGCTTCCCACGGCGCCGCCGGGTGTGACATCCTGCGTCGCTTGGTGCTCCCCAACCCCCACCACTCCCAAACCCCCGGGTGCTGCATGTCAGTCAGTCAGTCAGTGTAATCTCCGATTCCATGTTAGATTAGGGAGTAATGATCATAATAATAATGGTAATAATAATTACAATAATAATCTGTTATTGTGTGTGTGTGTACTGTTCCAGGTTGGTGCTCAGTTCAGTTCAGTCTCAGCCTAGAGGGGAGAGAGAGAGGCTAGAGAAAGCATATATTACAGTTAGTATAGTGACTTGTTCTATTGTACCCAAGGATGCCAGAAGAAATTGTTAAAGCGATGAGCTTAAGGACACTCTCAAACAAGAGCCAGTTGAAATAACTTCGAATGTGGTAACAGAGGTGGACGAGGCGAGTTGAGGTGACCGACTTCATCAATAAATACCCAGAAATCAGGCCTAACAGGATCTGGGTGATAACTTTTTCCTTTAAGGGAAAATGGATGTGAATTTCCCAACACGAGATGAAATCAGAAATTTCCTGCAGTTCCTAAAGTTTTGGTCAGATCCTCCCGACTGCAAGACCATCAATAAAATAGGAACGTAAAAAGAGAAGAAGTCTGCTAAACAAAATTAAATTTACTTTTTCTGATTTATCGTGAAATATTGGACAATTTTACCTAAGGCTGTAAGTGACGATTATTTTCTTGATTCATTGATCTAGCTACATTAAAATATCTATTACAAGTTCCCCAGCCAAATGTGAGGTCTTTAAATGTCACGTTTTGTTCAACCAACAGTCCAAACTCAAATATTCAGTTCACTGTCATAGAAAACTCAGACAAAATATTCACATTTGAGAAGCTGGAGTTTGAGGTTAACCTTTAAATATTTATCACTTAATATGCAACAGCCGTTGTTGTTGTTGTTGCATTTTAATTTTCTGTCGATTGACGAACCAATAATCGACTAATCGTTTCAGCTTTAGTTTTACCCCTCTGCAACGTCTGCAGATAATTCAAATAAAACAATCTGAGAAGGGAGAATCTGAAGTACATAGTGTTTGGTTTAGCTTTGTTAAAATAGTAAATAAATAATCAAAGAAATTATGTTATATAAATTATTACATAATTTTTATAATGTATAGTGGCAAAACCTCCCCAAGGGGTCCTGGGATAGCTCTGAGCAGTCACCAGAAGATTAGAGAGCCAAAGAAACAAATATGGCACAAACTTTTCTTACTTTCACTCAAAAGATTGCTTTATTTTGCAGAATATGAGATACTCTGAATTTCTAATGGCCTCTGAAATTCTCCTAAGGGAAGAATAACAAGCAAAAATATGTCTTTAGTGTATCTGCTCACAAACAGCATCTATTTGTGATGAGGGGTAACTTCATTTTAGGGGTCACAAGCCCAAAATATTAAGAACCACTGGTGTGTAATGACATGACAAACAAATGAATTTCATAAAACAAACTTTTTAAAAAAAATATGCGCTGTAGGACTTGAAAGATGTTTGTGAAGATGAAGATCAGATGTGAATTAGTTTGAAAATAAGACAAGAAATGCTTTGATGAATGCATTTTGTGTATAAAAGTATGCATTTGGAAAACATTAAGATCGAAGTTTACCGAAATGACTGGTAATACTTCATACTTCAACATATACAACAAAGTAGCTAATGCTTCATTGTAATGCCCATAAAAGTTAAAATGTGCAAAATGTGCAAAATGTGTTGTCCAGCGGAGTCATTTCAACGTGTGTCTGTTTGAGAGTGCAGTCGGACTAAAGCGTGAGGAAGGGAGTTGATATTTTAAATGATGGGTGACACGGTGATGATGTTTCTGTTCGCCTATCGACAGCATTTGGGCTGAGTGACGCGTTGTTTTCAACACTGATACACTTATTAACACATCCACACGAAACACTGTTATTAACACACCGAGCAAAAATGACGCTCGGACGCAGAGATACATGCACAACACCCACAAATACAATGCTGTGGCGCATTCAGACACTCATCTCATGGACTAAATGAAAGATGAGCTTTTAGGAAAAGGAGGACCTGGTGGTGTTTCAAAAGGTGCTAAAATTTTATCTGAAAATAAGAAAAATATATTGTTAGGAGTATAAATCAAGTTTGTCTTTACAATGACTGTATTTAAGTTTGTCGTAGTAATGAAAAGGCACTATTATTATTTTACTCTTGTATGAATATGAACTAATTAAAAAGGCATTTTAACTTTGTACTTGAACAATGTAAGAAATGAACCGTGAATTAAAAAAAGGACTGTTTCTTGTGATTTTGGCTCAGTGTTGACTCCCTTCATGTCAGTTAAGCCTGTAACTTATCAAATCCAAATCATAATACAGTTTGAGTTCACAGCTAGTATTTGATGTCAGTTCTCTCTGTTGAGGCTCTGCCATCAAATTTCTGCCATCAAATCATTTTCCTCTTCTGTTGTTTGTGTGTGTTGAGAACAGATCAAACTCTTGTGAGTGACAGTTTGAATGAGAGGTTGCTGAGGACAGCAGGACACCAAAAACTACAGGTGCATCTCAAATTGTTTTCGTATTGTGAAGTTAATTTGAACTTCACTGAACCAAGCTGAGAGATTAAAAGCTCAGGAAACATTTGCAGGTGTTTTGAGTTAATTAGCTGATTAGAACTACATCTTACATTTACATTTTTTCATTTAGCTGACGCTTTTATCCAAAGCGACTTACAATTGCTATACATGTCAGAGGTCGCACGCCTGTGGAGCAACTAGGGGTTAAGTGTCTTGCTCAGGGACACATTGGTAAATGGGTCACAGTGGGGAATGAAACCCGGGTCTTCTCAGGCTGACATTTCTGTTTTATAAATTCTTTATTCCACAATTATGTGGATTATATTTTGAGATACTGCAGACTTTTGATATCCACAAGCTGTAAGCCGTAATCAGTTAAAAAACAACAACGCTTGAAATAGTTACTGAACTTTTCCACGACAGTCCACTTTCTTTAGTTGCACCTGTATGGCTATTTTTAATAACTGAAATTAAACAATAATTTGATTTAGAAGTTAAAATTCTTACACCCCTCATGTCAGTGTATGTGTTTAACATGGTGTTTTTTTTGAACGAGGTAAATGCCCAGTGTTTCCAGTGTTTTAGAAAACAGAATGGATTGATAACTTCATGCCACAAATGTTATTTGTAATAAGCTAATTTACCATCACATCAATGACAACAGGGTAGTTTTGCCCTTTTTTATGATAGAAGTATCTCAACACTGTTGCTGATTGTGTGTTTTATTGACAAAACGTTTTTCTGTTTCACCTCTGTGTGGAGTTATGTGTATTTATACTGCCAGCAGGAAAGTGGAGTTGAAAGCTTCAGTTTTCACAAAACAAGTACAACCACACACACACACACACACACCATATTTTACTGAGCTACCAGGGTTATGTTAAGTCTCAAATTGTGTGCTCAGTGAGCCCTACCTGCCTTATGTTGGGTTAAGTCATGGTGTAAATGGTCACTATTAATTATGCCAAGGTTCAGATAGTGAATTAAATGCCCGAAGCAGCTAATTAAGTCACTCTATGAAATGCACACAACCTGCTGCATGCTTCATCCATGATGGTAGTCTGCAAATCTAGACACAAATTATTTATCATACTAGTAAATAATATTCAGTAAATCCTCAGCCCTTGCTTTAATGTCCCCACTAAATAGATTTAAGACAGGTGTCAACTAGACATCTGTAACAAACCTCTGTTCACGCAGCTCTCACTGTCTTCGTTCCCACCACAGCACCGGTCATGCTGCCAAAGAAGGAGGGCCCTGTCTTCATGCTGTGGTCCTTCAGCAACATATTTTCGCTTTCAAGTGCTCCTTGTAAACTCTTGTGAGGGGAAGAGCAGCATTCAAGCACACCGGGTCAGAAATAATATCACCCTGGGTGCTGTTGTGGCTTAAGACCATTTAATTTTTTGTTGTGAAGTAGCTTTTTATTTTGTGATGCAGCAGCAGAACATAGCTGTTTTCCATAAGCAGGTTTAGTGTAGGGTACATTAATCTCCTTTTGGCTACCTGCCTTTAAATTATTTTTGTAACCAGTGTGTATCATAGTTTAATATTTCCGTAATGTAGCTTACAGAATACATTATTGTAAATCCTATCAAACTGATATACATTTAATTTGCAAAGCTTGAGCAACAGTACCGATGTGGGCCCATAAAGCCCAATGGGGTATTGGACAGTATGTATTGATGTATTTTACCAAATACTATTCACTTAATTGTAAAATAAGATTTTATTGGCCCCATTTAGGAAATTCATGTTACAGCAGCACAAGAGACAAACAAATGGGTAAGATAGACAGGTGAGTCATTAAAATAATGTGAATAAAAAAATAGACAAAGCATCAAATTAAAAAGCATCACTACCTTAAATAAATGTTACCAATATACCATGTATGTGCAGAAACCATGTTCTTATTGATGTAGTAGAGTGACTAGTTAGTCTTACGGAGTAAATATTATTATTATTATTATTATATCTTATGTAAATGTGAAAAGCTCAATCACTGCTCACTATTTCAATATTGCAGTTTCTCTGTAGATACAACAATTATTTACAATGTCTTGATTTAAAGTTTAGTATTTGCATTTATCTGTTCTTAACTGATTAGATTTAGTCAGTAAATTAGTCCCAATTTGTATAATCAACTGGATTATCACCTCACCGGGTGCTAACGCATATTTTCCCGACAGCATTGAAGGCAGCATACGTCTCTGGAGGCAGGAGGCACGCCCCTGTCTTCTGAGAGACCGCCTTCTCTAGTAACATCTCGTCTTCTATTGGTCAGTCTTTCCGTTGATCAGGTTTTAACGGCTCCTGATTGGCTGTTTTCGGACTGTCGGCAAAGAAGCATCTGCGGCTCGCGCCGTGCCAGCTGTCCTCGAGCACTCGGCTGGTGCTGGGCAACGGTGAGAGCGGCTCCAGAGGAGGAGGATCTGGGAATCTGTTAAAAAAAGGGTAAGAAGCCAAAAAGACGTTTTTTAATTAAGATGTCAGGGGTTGTAATATAAAATCTAGTGTTGGTTTACAAGAATGGAAGAATTAATCATCAATATTCCTATTTTGGCAGTTCAATTCTTTATTTTATCTCGTCTAACGTTAGTCCCAGGTTTAAACCGTTAATATCCGTTAAGTTTCCACTTTTCACGTTAACGTGATATATCAGAATGAGCTTTCTGTGTCTTATTTTACATTTTCAGTCGCGAAATTGTGCAAATGGTTCTATTACATGTGAATGGGAATTAATAAATGCGAGCCTTATCTTGACACATGAATGAAATTGTATGAATTTCACATAAATCAGGATAAAAATGTAAGATTGGTCGTATGTTGCACAAGCTAGCATCGTGTCCTCTTCGGCGACGAAATATGGGTGAGATGTGTGAGTGTGTGTAATGTTATTTGGCGTGCCATCAGTGCAGTAAGGCTGTGTAATGTGTGTGTGTGTGTGTGTGTGTGTGTGTGTGTGTGTGTGTGTTGGCCGTTATGTAAGTCTGTAATTCGTTTATAGGTTATTCTCAGATCTCCCAAATATATTAAGTCATGGTGATGATAAAGAGGAGGATGTGGAGTCATGCATACAAACAAGCCTGCTGGTGTGTGTGTGGTTGAGAACATAATGTGAACTGAACAGGTGATTTGATCTCCAGTTTTACCTCCTCCTCCTTTGTTGGACTCTGTCTAAAAGGGTTTTGCATGCTCTGATTTTGTGGATCAGCGGATATTGAGGACTTCATTTGGTTTAAGGATCCTCAAGGGGTCTTTAGGGGTCCTCAGTGCAGCACAATTAATTGAATATATTAGAAAGCATCCTTACTAGATGATGTAACCTGTTTGCCTACACATGGTATATTCCAGTAGGGTTGCATCTATTCTGTTATTATCATATGTCAGGAATCCTTTTTTAAGCTTTTATTTTGCAGCAAATTGAAGCAGAAGAAAAAACAATTACTCACATTTTAGAGAGTGCAATTTGATTTGGCTATTTGCTAAATGCCTGTCTGTGTGACCTCGCCGAGCCTGTGTAGGTTTCCTCTGGCGGCTTTAGTTTCCTCCCACAGTCCAAAGACACACAGGTTAGGCTGCTGTAACTGAGACTCTATATTGTCCGTTAGTGTGAATATGTTAGTTCTGTGATAGATGGGTGATGCACCTGTGGTCCTGCAGAGGAAAAGAGGTTTAGATAATAGATGGATGGATTCTTGATAAATTACTTAAACAATCAATGAATGTCTGTTTTCTGTCTGTCAGCTATTGCCAATCTAATATCTGTTACTCTGACCATTTGTTTCAAACCATACACGGTATAGACCTTTGTATATTTCAGTCAACAAAGTCCTGGGGTCAAACTCACAAAACCGTTTAAGGAAGAGGGTAGACTACATATATGGATGGATAAATGATGAAAAGATGTTGAGGTCTGGGTATGCTTGAAACAAACTAGTTTGTGCCACATGCCGTTGTTAATGTTAACAGCTGGTCTGAATGGCCATCAGTCAAAGGTGGGGTGAAAGCACTGTATTATGCAAATGGAGATAAGGGTGCACACTTTCAGGCAGTCTTTCCTCGATGCCTCTCATGGTGTTGCACCCCTACAACAGAAGTTTAAACCAAGACTACTTTCTCACATGATTGCCTGATTGTTGGTTTCGAAAGTGACCAAAATCGTCAGATGTAGACGCTCCATTCTGGGGTTAATTAAAATCAAATGGGGTCATCCTCTGAGGAGCATGAATGTGCTCAGTAACTTCCATCAGATAAGGAGATATCTGTTTGCAAAGTGGATGTTTGGCGTCTTGGTGGCTCAGGCGAAAAAAGGGCGAAGGTCAGACAAAACAAATACTGCTAAAGCAAAAGAAGTTCTTCCGTGATAACTTCCTCAGTTGGTACAAGAAAGAGGAGAACAAAGCATAAGAAATATAAAAAATTACAATAAAATTACAGCCTTATCAGAGATTATTTAGAGAGAGGGCCCATAATCCTCCGAGTGTTGGCCTAGTTAGTTACGCGACCGTTGTTGTTATTGTCTGTTTATCTGTGTGTGATTCACTAATGGCTTATTCATCCATGCACCTCCAGCAGCACCCACGACTTTTGAAACCTCATCCTGTGTTTAATGTCTATTTTTATCTCCAATCGGTTGTAAAGTTGTCTGATGCACGTTTGTTCTTTTAAATAGCTCCACAGTTCACACACACATGCACACACACATACACACGCACACACACACACACACACACACACATATACAATGTAACACACATGACTCTTGCACACTGCACACACACTGTCCCTCCCTGTGGCGATTACTCTCCAGATCAAGCAGGAGTCAGCAGCTGTCTACTCCTTTCTTCTCACTTACAGCATGCATCAAGACACACACACATATATTATTTCCATGCCACACATGTAGCCTGCACTTGTCCAGAATCAGACATCTGAGCATGTCAGCAGCCACTTTGTCAAATTTCAAACTGTTTCTAAACTTGCAAGCTTTTATTTTCTCCTGAAAATAGATTTGACTTTTCATCATCACAAACTGGAGGTTTTAATTTCCATCCTGCTTTTTGTTCGCTGACTGCATCTCTGCCTCTGTTACGAAGATTTAGACATGTTTATAATTATATTATATTGTATTTTCTTTATTAGGATAGTGTTTTTAAATTATTTTATATAGTTTTCAAGGTGCCCTTAGCTTATATCAGCATAGGCATTTACAAAGATTTTTAAGAAAGCATTAAATTGAAGCTCAAAATGTGAGTTTTGTCTTATAAGATTGTCATATGCAACTTGGTCAGTTAATGGTAAGCAAAACCAAATGAAATCACTTCATCAACTTGCATTAAAGAAAGCAAAATTCTCTTTAATCTTATTTAAATTTAGCTTTTTGTTTACATTTGGGATATTTTTACCAGATTTTTTCTAACCATAGTTTCGGTGTTCTTTTGCCTATTTTTATTAATGACAGTAACACTACAGAAATAGTTTGGTTCCTCAATGAAAGACTTAGACTCTTTTTTTATTGTTTATGATACAGAAACAGCTCACACCTGAAAGACTAGTGTGCAAAGTTTTTCATAGTAAACTGGCTGTGACTTTGTGTCTTATAAGACCACATGTGTCTGTGTGGAGCTGTGATGATGTGACATTGGGAGTCTGCACCAAATCTGCCTGCTGCTCCTCATTCATTATTAATTAACACCCCCATTAAAAAGAGGGAGAGGAGTCAGGGTGTGTCTCGGCATCTGTTATAGTGAGCAGTGTGTGCTTGTGCATGTGGGAACTCATTGTGTACATGTGTATCTACACTGTGAGAAACTCTGCCTGGTGTGTCGCTGTTTGTCTGTCTGTCGTACTCGCTATGTCCAGAGATGTTTTATAGAGCTATGACACAGCAGAAAGCAAACACACACACACACACACACACACACACACATACACACATGCACACACACACTGTAGACCTGCACTGCAGAAGTCTAAAATAGATCTGGGATTTTCAGCATGGTGGTCTTTGGAGAATTTTGGATAAAGTTGGTGAGGCCACACAAACATTGGGCTTAATTCATTTGAATCAGAAACGAATTAGCACTTAATTTCCCTATTAAGATTTATTTTGTTAAGAAAAAATTGATGAAATAAGATTTTACTTAATTTTACTCATGCATATTTGTTGGAAAAATATTTTTTCAGAAGTGTTTTGTATATTCTACCTCAGATTTGTTAAGTTATCCACCGTTTGGCATAAAGTATTTGTCATGTTCTGACCACCAAGAATAGTTTCTTGAAATACTTTCACTCAGGAGCAAAAACAATCCTTTAAAAATAAAAGAAATAATGATTTGACATTTAGCGTGATAGGGGCCTAATTATGGATATATAAAGGTACGAAATTTTTTATTGTGATAACATTTTAGGCCATATCGCCCAGCCCTATGCAAACACTATATCAGGCAGCATCCACATTAAGTTGTCTAAGTTGAAAAGTCATCTTTCCCTCTCGTTTTTGACCTCCTGAGGAGTAGCTGTGGTGAAGACTGACAGTCCACTCCTCATGGCACTTCATCTCGTCGCATCACGTCACACCGCTTCACAGCACCTTACGCTGTCTTATGTCCTACAGCACAGCGTCTCTTCAGTCACCTCATGACGCCTTATGTTGACTCATATCACTTCAAGATGCCCCAAATCTTCTGTAAAAACTGTATTTCTAATCCAGGACTTGACATATAGTGTCACAGTGGATTGGCCACATTCGCCCCTACAGGGAGGGGGATGTACAACAGTCACTATGATTTTTATTCTTCACTCCTTTGAGCACGTGGTCTAATGTGTATGTTTGTGAGTATTAAAGGTGTCTCTGTCTAGAATGTCAATAATATAAGTCGACCATAATTTCCTTTGGCTTTACAGTCCTCACAGACACACAAAGCTCCCAGTGTCCAGTCTAGATTATTGTTTAGTCAGCATTCCCATTCCCACACACAGTCAGTCGGCTGTGTGGGTTTGCACGGAGATGACTGGAAAATAGTGACAACAGCAGCTTCAGCCTTTAAATATCAGTAAGAGAGACCAGAATTTCATGTGGACATCGCTCTGTGGGCCATTTGTCTACAGATTTTGAAAGCAAAAGGGCATTTTTATTAAACTGAAGCACAATATTAACATAATAATGATTGATTTTTCTGAAAAATTATTTGCAACCAGAGGTGCAAAATGTAATTTCACTACCCATGGGTGCATGGGTTGGAAACAGTCACAAATGTGTACACAAGAGGCAGACTAAATGAATAGACTTTTTTGACAAACTGTGATCGATTCATTTTGTGTGTGAGATTGAGGCATGAACATTTCCTGTGATTTGAAAAGAACCATAGCAACAATTAGACACGTTAATAAATACAGTACATTCGAAACATCTTTAGTTTTTTTGTGATGGTTACCAAAGACTTTTGTAATAGAAAATAGTTTAAATGGACCAACCTGCATGAGGGTGCTATAATTAAAGGTCAGAAGGTCAGGCATGTTTGGCTTTTATTGTAAATGATCCAAATAAGAGAAGGAAACATTTTTCATTACAGTGTTACTTTAGTCTTGGTGTTTTAATATGCTTCACCATACTATGTTGTGTGTGTGTGAATGTGTATGTGTAGGCTTTTTCACTGAAAGCACTCCAGTTCCCATCTCCTGGGAAACCAATCTTTTATTCTGGCTGCCGGGCCTTTAGGGTGCTGCTTTCCATACAGCAACCCCCTCCACCATGTTTACCATGATCATTCTCTCAACACAATCACCCTCTTCTATTCTTCCTCAATTACTCCACATCAGTGGAGTCTGACCTGGTGCCAAATGATTTCCATTCAGGGCTATAGGATATATGAAGCTATAGGCTTACGGTATGCATTAGAGTGAAGGCAGATAGTACGCATAATTTCTTATAAAAATCTCTTTTTTTTCATGTAATCTTTTCTTAGTCTCGTCTTAGATAATCATATACTGTAGATCAGAAATTGATCTGTGTTTAGAGCAATAAATATTGTGAGCAGTGAGCTTAATGTCAATGGAAAAAATATTAGGATGGAGCCCTGAAAGTCAGTTGATTAGGCAGTAGGCGTACAAGGAAGATTTTGGTATCTACTGTATGTTTTAATTACTTAAAAAGAGGAAAACCAAAACTAATGTATTCATTTAAGTGAGGATGTCTGCCCAACCTTTCTCCATCTCTTTGAACCAGTTTTAGTATAATCTGGTTGGGGTTACAAATTTCAGGCTCTAGATCTTTTCTCTTCTCATTATTCTGTTCACTGTTTCATCCCCTGTCGCTCCCCTCCAACTCTCCTGTCCTTCTCTCTCTATTCTCCTCCATCTCTTTGAGTTGATTCTGTGTGACTGGGAGGGCATTGTGTCCCGCCATCAAACACATTGCATACAACCATCCATGCAGAACACACACAGAGGGATGTTTGTAGAAGGAGCTCTCAGTTTGTTGATCCCATTAGACTCAATAATCATCTAAAGGTTGAACATATTGGACCAATAGCTGGTATAAACACATTTGGCAAAAACACATCGTACAAATCCATACATTAACTATATGTTACATCCATTCAATTTATTTATTTTATTTGGTGTAGGAATTTGGAGGTGAAGCTGAAGCTGAGCATTCATGCCACATAGAATCTTTTATTCTTATCCTTGCTAGTAAACTACCTCTCATTAGATGAAAGTGCTTTGAACAAGCAGACAATACTGCAAATTATCTTAAAATCCCAAACCACAAGACTCAGCTTCATTACTGTAATTATAAAATGTGTTTTTAAAATTAAACATCAGGAACCTATATTGAATAGGAGTTTATGACAATTTCACAAGCACATAAAGTAAACTGAGTGTAACATGTGCTGTAACTAACACAGTGGTTCTCAAACTTTTTCTGTCATGGCCAACTCCAGAAGCAAATAAAGGTTTTTGTCTGCCCCCACCTCAGAAAAAGTGTATTATTAATTATGAATTAATTATTAACAACACAAGCGGTTGAAATAAACAAGATTCAGGTTAGAAAAAAATAGCCTTGCTAGCATCAGAGTGCTTAAATTGTTTTTGTCACCACATGAATCATATTCATGCAACTTTAGGTCTGCTCGACATCCTCGACCCCCCTGAAGTGGTTCTACGCCCCCCAGGGGGTCTCGCCCCCCCAGTTTGCGAAACCACCTAACTAACACAACAGGACATTACCATTGCCAGAAGTTATCATTATCTTTTGTAAAGGCGGGGGCACAGACAAGAAATGTTCACAAATACCGGCAGGCATTCATTTTGAAAAGTGCTTGTTGTCAACGCACAGCAGACATGCTTGAAATTAGGTTAATTAGATGCATGTTTCTTAACCAAAAGCCATGTAGGATGATTAAAATTCACCTTGCTTTAAATATTTGTAGAATGTAGGGCTGCAACCAGCAGTTATTATTATGGATTATTTTAATTATGGATTAATCTGTTCATTAACATTTTATGAAATGTCAGAAAAATGTCCATAAAAGAAGAGTTTTCTTTTCTGTTGGAAATAATTCTGTTCTGCTTGGAGAATGTCTTCCAAGTAAACGATAAATTGATTATCAAAATGTTGTTTTTAGTTAGTTCTTTTTCTGTCAATTGACTAATCGATTAATTGACTAATCGTTTCAGCTCTAGACAGTTGCATCCATTATTGCTTGTCTAACCTGTCCACTAAATACAGAAGCTATATCAATCTTTAATAGGAAGAAATGCAAAACAGTTTAAATATCGGTATTTGAAAACCAGCCTGAGTCGGTTCATAAAGTTAAAGCTTTAATTAATAAGTAAGCAGGTATGTTACTTTAAGAAGCCTCTACTTTCCGTGCAGAATAAGTTATATTCCCGCACATGCTGTAATAGATTTGTAAATAATAAATCCCCTGCTGGCCTCTTAATATTTCATAGACGGAGCTGATACACTAAAAGCTTGGAGGAAGTTTTCTGTCTCCTGAGACAAAAAAAGATAGAAAATGTGTCAGAAACTGTAACTACAAGATGAGCAGACTGGTGTAATTATGGATGATTATCCCCTTATGTTTTAGCAATCAGGCAGCATCATACTAATCATTTTTTTAAGGAGATAAAACAATACCACTCAGGATGTTTTTCACCATTTTACATGAATTCTGTTTGGCAGTGGCTTTAGGTTTGTTGTGGAAGGACTATGAAAAGGATCTTTAGAAAGGTACCTGACCAGAGAGGTTTTTGAAAGCAAGTATACAACTTGTGTACTTGTTTGTAAGGTATGGTAGGGAATTGGTTAACCTCTGAAACAACATTTGGATAGATTTAACAATACAACATCACTTAAGGTCCACTTACTTGCCATCATCACAGAGCACTAAAACATGTCCCTTTTTCTCCTCTCTGTCAGGACTATTTTTGTTTGGCTGGATTGATCTTCCTATCTACTCTTTGTTGCAGAGTGATGTTTATTTTTCAAATAATTCAGTTTGTCTATCATGACGATAGCTGTTTCAAAAGTCATTTTGATGTGTCTCGATTTGACCAATACCTATTTAATAAGGCTCAATCTTCTCGTATTTGTTTGCCGTATCTATCACAAATGGATGAAATCAGCAGTGGAATGCACAATTTATTTTAACTTTGTGGTGAAATCCATTAGTGCATAGAAACATTGGAGAGTCAGACAGAGTGGTTTCCAGTTGGGCTGCCACTCCAACATACCAAATGGGACATGAGGCAGTATTTCTTAGGTTATTTCCCCATTATTTTCATACAAGAAGCTGCCAGTACAAAACTCAGTGTCTACCTTTGTAATGCAATATTGATGTTAAATGTCTTTTTATGTTCCTGGCAGGACTATGGCTGCCAACATGGGGTCGATGCGTATCCTCATCAAGGGAGGGAAGGTGGTCAACGATGACTTCACCCAGGAAGCAGATGTTTACATTGAGAATGGCATCATTCAGCAGGTAGACTACATTTACACATTACACATCCACGCATTCTCACAAAATACCATACAAATGTTTCTCTACATACTGTATTTAGATGTCGTTCACACACACACACACACACACACACACACACACACACACACACACACAAATAACCACTTTGACCCACACATTCACTGTCTGCTGTTTCCCCAGCTGTTACTGTGACTCATTGCACAATAATACAGTATGAAGAGAATGAACCACCCAGTGAACTCTGTGGCTCTGCATGATGGTAGTGAATGCTATAATTAGTTCACAGAATGTTGTCATGGAAATAAGCATTGGTTTATGTCTTTATGCCTACTAAAACAATCACATGAGCTTTCTCATGCACTATGTCGATGCTTATTTTCATCACAACAACAGTAGGATCATGCTATTGGGTGCCATCCCTTTAACAAATGAAGGTTCATATGTTACTATTAAATGGTGCCATAGTTCAGAATGATACTTTAGCTGAAACAATACTTTTAAGAAGGTTTTAAGAGTAATTTTAAGAAGGTTCTGTACCAAGCTCAGATAAACAACACTCGTGCTGCAAAAAAGAAGCATTTAAGGATGCATAAGATGCTAGCAGTATTGGAAGAACATAAGAATATACACATGCTAGGTTGTTTATTCTGATTTACCAGTATTGCTATACATTTTGCAAGGCATTATGTGGGTGATAATACGCTACAATGTGTCCAAATATAAAGATTTAATGAATAATGACAAAGAGTAGGAACAGTACTAGTAAACTGCAAAGTACAGCATGTGTTGGCACTGTCTTTCAACTTTGCAGTGAATATTTACTATTCAAACATGTAGGAGAAGCCATAGTCTTAACAGCTAGCATCAGCATGCTAACATGCTCATAGTGGGAATGCTAACTTGCTGATATTTAGTAGGTATAATATTTACCATGTTCACCAACTTAGTTTTGAATTTAGCATGTGAGCTTTGCTAATTAGCGCCATATACAAGTACAGCTGAAAAGTTGACAGTATTTGGTCAGAAACGAATGTGCTTTTAATAACATAGAGGATGAGAGACGTGGACAGAGCGGATCAATTAACCTCTTCTACATGTTTGCTAGTTTAATGGATGTATCGACAAAGTTGTCTTTTACTCTTGAGGTTTTGTTGCACATACTGCAGCGGCTTGGAGTTACCTTCACTTCAGCGTGTCCACGACCTATCTCTGCGCTTGCCACTGTTCGTGCGTGTGAGCCCGCATGTGTGTGTTCGTGTGCGCGAAGCGACACAGAGCAGCAGAGGCTGCATCCTCATAATAAACAGTATGGTCTTCAACCCCAGGCCTGTTTAACACCAGGCTTCAGTGCCCATCTAGTATCTGGTCAATCATGTAAATTGCATGTCTGCTCTGTTCTGTGCAGGGGTTCTTTACTGCAGCTCTCTGCCTTGGGCTTTCCATGTATGCACATGGATGGGCATGGAGGTGCTCTCCCTACCTTATGGCTTTTCCACAAAGTCCTTGTCATTATAATAGTCATTATATATTCAGTGGTTCAGATGCATGTAGTGGGGACAAAATGCAAAATAATAAAGTTGTGTAATTAGTGTCCTTGTTTTCTTCATGACAGGTTGGAAAGGAACTGATGATACCTGGTGGAGCTAAGGTGATTGACGCATCTGGAAAGCTGGTGTTGCCGGGCGGAATAGACACCTGTGTACATCTACAGGATACTTTCATGAACGCCAACATTCAGGATGACTTCTACAGTGGGACCAAGGTACACACACACACACACACACGCACACATGCACGCACGCACGCACACACACGCGCGCACACACACACGCATGCACGCACACACGCACGCAAACATACACACACACACACATACCCACACACACACACACACACACACAGGACTGTGTTATGATTAGCCTCGTCAACATGCCTGTGATTAAACACATTAAGAATTCATAGACAGCTGTCATACACAGACACATACTTTCTCACTCTCTGTCCTGTCTACATGCAAATCTTCAGCTTCATACGTTCATCAAGACTAATGACCACATGTGTTCTCACACGGGTCCGATAGGAACCAAACAGCTGTCATAAGTTTCTGGTTGAAAGCAAAGACTTCTCCTTTTACACTTCCATACACAGCTGTTCTGTCTTTATTCTAGGTTTATTCGTTTATTTCCTATGGATGCTTCGCATGTTTTCCACTGCTCCCCTGAGACTCAGAGCAGAGAGGATGATATAATAATTAGGAGACTTAGAAATTTAAAAAACGGAGCGTAATTGTTGCCTGCAGCAGTATGTGTCGGAGGATGTTGTGTTTTTGTTGTTGTTGCCTGAAATACTTTTATCACTGGGAGGTTTAAGTCCTGGGCTTCATACCCATATGAACATATGTACAAAGGTATTGTAGTCATCATACATAGTGTGAGTTGGGAGTAAAGATCAAACAAATGGACAGAAATCCATTTTGTCTAAAAAAGTCAAACAACTGCAACTGTGCATTTAGGACCAGTGTTCCTTCTTGATTTGCTTGTTGAACTACGTCTGACAATTCATTGCATTTTCAAAATGATCATTAGACTGCCGCGTCCCCAGAAGATTATTGAGTTTACTTTAATTGGATAAAGAGAACTTTTTGATGCCAAGAGATGTTAAAAGTGCTGGGCAAAATGTTCCTTTTATCGTCTGTCATCTTGAGATTTGTTTAGGCAAATGCAAAAGTAATGCAGTTAAATTCCAGGCCTGCATTGGTGATAATATTATACAAGAAATGTTTCAGGCAAAATAATAAACATATCTTATTTCTTACAAAAGATAATGAGATAATATTAAGTAGTTGCTTGTTGTTATTTTGGGGTAAAAGTAAACCTAGAAATATGTTTAATTTTCTGTAAAAAAAAAAAATGTATGTAATGTGCTGTATTTGACATCTTTCAATTTAGCTAAGAAATAATGCCAGTGGCAGTTCATTGTAACTATTCAAAACTGTTGTCTTAGCCTCATACAGCGTGTTGAGACATGTTTGTTTTTTTATTTGTATCTATTTGTTAGTTTTTTCAACAAGGACAATACAGATTGTTACATATGTACTGTAAGTATCTGTATTGTTTTGTACATGTCTGTATATGCACTGACATATAAGTGCAAGAGTGCAAGAACATATGTGTACAGTTCGTAGGCGCACATATATGTGACAAGTAAATCCAAATGTAATGTAATGTTAATGATGTATAGAAAGATATGAATAGCAGCTGTTGTGGTTTGAAAATTGCACTTTCTGAAATTTTGATTTAAATTTCAAAAGATAAATTGTTCAGTCCTACGTGCCAGTGTAAGGCTACATCCACACTACTGTGTTTTTGTTTTAAAACGAAAACGATCTCCATCTACACCAGCATTTTTGCTGCATATTAGAATTGATATCCGTCTATGTTAAAACAACTGAAAATGTCTAAAAAATGTAGTGGCCATTCATGTACACTGGGCATGCACGTACTGGTGTGTTGTCTGCTCTGCAGTTGCAGAAGATTCGGCAAAAGAAGAAAGTACTACTACAGACGAACAAAAATAGCAATGGCGAATAACCACACCAAAGTTTTTTTGCATGGACCGACAACGAGATGGAAATATTACTGAAAGTAACATTAGAGTACAAAACAACTAATAATTAACATATCAGCTAGACCAGAGGTTTTCAAAGTGGGAGGCGGGCCTCCCCAGGGAGGCTTCAAGCAGTTTCGGGGGAGGCTCAGTGAATGGAAGTGAAAAAATATTACATTATTATGACATTAATTTCAAAAGAAGATCACATAAAATAGCCTAAATTTGTGTTATTTGGTCAGAGAGAGTTCACAGATACAGAAAACAGAATTTTACTGTTTTCCCTACTTTATCAGAGTCAGAAACTAATAAATGTATAATGTAAAACTAATAATGTATTTGGTATAGTCTGAAGCTATGTCAAACAGCAATATTTTGGCTTAACTGTTGAATGTCTAAAACATCAAATAACCTGATCATGACCCCATATGCATCCAGGAATTGGACGAAACTAAGCAAGTAAACAAATGGTGGGTGCCTTTTTTTGTCTGATGGTGGGGGACCCACAGTGTCAGACTTTGAAAACCCCTGAGGTAGACCATTTAATAGAACTTTCAATACTGAAATAAAAACCATCATGATGTCAGTATATCAACGTTAAAAAATCCTTTAGGCCATCATGGTACATTACAGTACCATACTCAGTACCATTACAGCCCTCCAAGAAAATTTTCTTTTTCCCCTTTAATTTTTTATTATCAATCTTTTACATGTCAAATAAACAACTGTACATGTACTCAGTCATGGGTAACAAGGCAGTCCAACTGTATATAAAAGAAGCAACAAAACAAAAGGAAACAAACAAACTAATCATATAAATAAAGATAAGGAAGAAAATGCAGTTGAGAGTTATATTTTCATTAGTTAGTCTATTCCAACCGTTCCCATTGAGTAGGACTGAATTGGATTGAGTTGGTCTTCGCAGTATTTTTCAACGTTGCCCTCCAAGAACAATTTAATGTTTAAAGAAGCACTTCAAGTGTCTTTCTCCTTCTAACACTGCTGGTGCGTTTGGAAGAGATACAGCGGTATGAAATGAGGTCTGAGCCTAATGGAATGCCAACTGAAGACGGGTGAGAGGAATTTGGGAGGGATCGAATCATCTGTATGCCAGCTTTACCCCAGCAAACACCCATTCACCAACCCTTATCCACTGACCTTGCTGCCATGGCAACTAACCCCGACTCTTAGCGTGGAAATCAGAGGGAGAAAATGTGTGTGTGTGCACACATGACGCGTTACTGCAGCAACGGCTCATGTGCCATTGTGATGAACCCCAAAACTATTTCTCCAGGCGTCCTCTTCCCCCCCTCCCAACTCTTTGTAACAGTCCGCTCCCTCACTAGATTTCCTTCCTTCCGTCCTCCTCTCTCCCCTCCCCACTGTTTCCTCTGCTTCACCCCCATCTGTCTCACCCGTTTCTCTCCTCCATGGCAGACTCACACTGAGCTGCAGTGGGAGGTCGATTTAAACAACAGGGTGGAGTGGTATTTCATTTTAAAGAAAGAAAAAGCAGTTTTAGATACAGACCTCTTTATATATGCATTTGTGCAACTTGTATTGAGGTGTATTGTATGTTCACTTAACATTAATAGATCTCAGATGAGATCAGATATACACACCAACAGAGAATTTCCTGAGGGTATAATAATAATTTAATAATAAATAAATATATTGCACTCTGAAAGACAATCATAGAAATGCTTATTTAAACATCTAAAAATCTTCCCTTCAAGCAGATTTAGGCTGGCTTTAACCCTCTTATATTTATATTTTGTTGTAATAGCTTTTCAGTTAGACTAGAATTCCCTAGACTAGAATTTGAAAAAAACATTTAGACTATTTAAATTACAAACTAACACCAGAAATCTTCATAACACTACAACAGCATTTGTACTCTTTACTACTTACAGAATCTAGTATACACTCTACTTATGTTTGATCTGCTCTCACTGTTATCCATAATCAGTCTTTACAATGCAGCAATCACATCCATCAAATTAGATGTCAGATTGACGGCACTGGATCAGATCTGATGTTTTCAGTAAGCACAAATATACAGCTCAAATATTGGCAGACCAGCTCTGTATTTCTCCCAGCAGGCACCACAGAGGCCATTTTAATGTCTCTACAGGGGCAAAGTGAGAGGAGAAGAAGGAGGAGGAGGGGATGAAAGAAGGTGAGGTGTTCAGTTGTAATGTGACGTATGAGAGGAGCTGATAGAGGCTGATCAGAGAGCTGCAGTGGTAATCTGTCTGACACTGATAGCCTCTTCCAGAGTCCAACATACAGGGATCCTCTCATCCTCCCATGTCTCACTCACACTCAGCGTCTCCCTCCTCTCTCCCTCTCTTTCATACATACAGGAATTGTAACTTTTTTTTTTATTCCTGTGTGCTTATTGGTTCTTGATTATTGTACCATGAAATAATTTATTTTCACTGCATGCTGGAAACTAAGGCATAATGAGTATTTCCCTTCACAAATAGTCTCTTTATTAAATTTATGATTCAGTCTATTAAATGTTTATTATCATTATCAATTAATCTGGGAATTATTTTCTAATTTTAAACAGTTAAAAGTTTCAGTTTCAATCCAAAACCCAAAGATAATGTAATAGAGTACATTTCTGGCTCTATTGCTTAAACAATGAATTTATTATCAATATAATGCTAGTAGTAGTACACAGTTGTTTTCTTTCCATGGACTTTTAATTAATAATAATTTTAATTGCTTGTTTTGACTAACAGTTTAATACCCCTAAATGCTTGGTTTTAAAACATGTTATTGAATAGTTTTCTGTCCATATCATACCATATTGACTATTTTGTTCTGTCATAAAGCAGTGATTTATGTCTGTGCTTTACGTTCTGCAGCCCACACCAACACACACAGATGCACAGTTTCACTCTCTCTCCTCCATCTTTCCCCCTCTGTGTCTGCCTGTTTTACTTTGTCAGAGGATTATCTTCACAGTAGGGGTCAGGGGTCTTTAACAGAGTGGGGGATTCATGTTAAAACTGTTTGGGGTTTGTGTCACCACCCACTTTATCTGTGCTGTCAAAGATCAGTAATATGTTTAAGGAACCAATGGGAGGAGTACAGTATGTCGGGTTTACTGCAGCTTGAGAGCTTTTAGATTAAAACCACGTACAGTACTGTGCTAAAGGCCGGTGTGAAAAAATGCTGTAAAATAAGAACGCTTTCAAAAATAGTTCATGTTAATAGATTATATTTATTAATTAACAAAATGCAATGTGAATAAACAGAAGAAAAATCTAAATCAAATCAGTCTTTGGTGAACACCATTTAAAATCACATCCAGGACTCCTTGTTCTCCTCTTTACACTAAAGATAGTTCTTAATGACTTTCGTTGTATGTTTGGGGTCACTGAGAGACCATTCATTTTGACTACTGCCAAATATTTGACTCATCAGTCCAGAACATTGGCTGCCATATTTCTGTACCCCAGGTCCTGTGTTTCCGTGCATAGTTGAGTTGCTTGGCCTTGTTTCCATGTCGGAGGTATGGCTTTTTGGCAGAAAGTCCTCCATGGAGGCCACTTCTGACCAGATGTCTGTGGACAGTAGATGGGTGTATCAGGGCCCCATGTTTCTTTGTGCTTCTTCAAAAGAGTTTGGACAGCACATCTGGGAACCCCTGCCTTGAAATGTCTGCCTGGGAGAGACCTTGCTGTGTCTTGTTGCTGCGCTCAGTCTTGCCATTGTGTATGACTTTTGACAGTAAACTGTCTTCAGCAACCTCTCCTTGTTAGCTGAGTTTGGCTGTTCCTCAGCCAGTTGTATTCCTCCTACACAGCCGTTTCAGTTAATGATGTTTCAACCTACATATTGAATCTGTGATTATTAGCACCTGTTTGGTTCAGTTGTTTAATCATACACCTGATGATATGCCTACAGAATCCCTGACTTTGTGCAAGTAAACCTAGAAGATTTGATGCTGTTTGGAAGGCAAAGGCTGATCACACCAAATATTGATATTGAAATGCTTCACATCAGGCCTGGTTATTCTGGTTTCTACAATGTGTCCGAGGGTTTCATCAGCCACACCAGTTACAAACAGTTTCATCAGAACAAACTGATTACGTATTACGAACTATAACTGCTTGTCAGTGATGATTTGGTACTTCTTAGATCTCTTTGGCAGATTTCTAATTTAGAAGAGTCTAAATTTAGATGTTGATTTGGTGACTGTAGTTACAAATGCAGCCGAAAAAGAGGAAACAGGGCAGGATGAAGGACATTTCATCCTGCAGACAGTTTCTTTATTCCAGCTTGGCAGAGAAAAGCCTGCTACTAGCCTCTGCAGCTCAAACACTAAAGAAAATGCATTATAATGTTCAATACACCATACACACGGACATGGCTTTCCTTCTTTAGCTCTTTCTCTTAACGCTGTTTCTTTCTCTTTTTCTGCTTTCACATTGCAAGTGCACTGGCAGTAAATTTTAATTAAGGCCATGCTGTCAGCCAGTAGTAAATCCCACAATCCCCAGCTGTGTCCATGCCCCCTGATCTCTGACCGTCTCTGACACACACACACACACCCACTGACAGTGATCAATGACACCTTTCTATGCTGATGCTGCAGATGATTCGGACTGGTTACTATGGTAATAAGAAACCTGATAGCTTGTTGGCTGGTGGTGCTGTCACTCAGGAACAGATGACCCCGCCCATGTCTACTACACGTCTGGGATCTGGAGGAAAGGCTCAATGCTGGCACAAAAATCAGAGTTGTGTTCAAACTCTTAATTCAGGCTATGTTGTAGAAATTATATTTTATTTTGACTTAACTGAACTGAAAATGAATCAAAGAAAGTCTGTGTAGTGCAGAAACAGGGCATGTTACATGTTTTTTTTTTTATATCTGTCTCTGTTCATTTCCTGTTTCATAAATGATTATTGCCTGTTTTCCCATCACTCCTCAGTGCAATATCCCTGTAGACTCTGTTAGAGGATATTGAATGGGTGATTGTCAGTGCAATTTTGGATGGAGAGAGGAAGAAGAGGAGGAGGATGGGGACATGCGATAGGCATGGCTGAGCAGTATGTGTTGTCATGGCTACACAAAAAGTGCATTTACCATTCAGCCGACTGGGACGAGTCGCTGCAGACCGCTCCCTTCACTTCATCAGTCATCCAGCCTGTCATCCTCCTCCATCCTTCCTCTTATTCTCCTCTGTGTCTTGTCCTCCCTAACTTTCCCTTTTCTCCTCTGCCTCCCTTTCTTTATCAGTCACATCCTCTTCTTCTGCTTTCCATGTCTGTGTTGGAGTTGTTATGAAACAATTAATATTGTTTTCTTAGAAGCTCTTACAAATCTTCTTGAGTGCTCTTGCCTAATCTGTAATTTTTTTTTGTAACCCAAAACCTAGGTTAGAGGGAGCAAATCAACAACATTAACTAAATGCAACACAATGGAGTATCATAGAGGTTTTTGACATTGTTGTGATTTTAAGAATCACATATTATCAATAATCACTAATGATATTGCAGTTTTCTGGAGTTGTGATTTAGAAAAAGGTAGAGTCACTCAACAGAACATTACTTTTATCAGAGTGTAAACCCTTAGTGTGGCAACAACAGTACAACAAGACAAAACAAACATTTCAAATAAATTGTTCACAGAATAGCAGAGCAAGAAATGCTACAGACTTCAAGTTTATCCTCATCTCCATGACTTTCTAGATAGTAACTGGTAACTAGCAAACTTAATTGTTTTGTATGTGAATAGCCAAGTCAGTCTTTGTGGATCATCCTTGTTTTAAGAAATCAGTTTATACAGCTTGTGACAAGTAGACCATATAATGATGAGAAAACAGTTCATGAAGACAGACTGGTGCTCATTGTCACCGGGACAAACAGTGTCTATGTGCGTTACAGTGGAATCATTGTTCTCATCTCTAATCAATCTCTCTCTTCTCTTCTCTACCTCCCATTTTCTTTCTCCCTCCTTCCTTTCCTTCCATCCTTACCCAGGCGGCTCTGATGGGTGGTACCACCATGGTAATGGGTCTGGTCCTGCCTGAACAACACTGCTCCCTGCTGGACGCCTACGAGAAGTGCAGAGCTCTGGCTGATGCCAAGGCATGCTGCGACTACGCTCTGCATGTCGGGGTGACTTGGTGGGGACCGAAGGTAAGACCCAAAGAGAGGTCAACATGTGAGCTGTGTCAGGACCCCATGGAAACACGTCCACTTATGTCTTTATCTTTTATAAACTGATATCATACTTTGCTGTTTTGCTCCTCAAGGTTTTATCCTCTCCAAATGAATAATAAACCAGCCAAATCATTTTCATTTTATGGGTCAAGTGTGTAATGACCTAGATTAAACCTTTCAAGAAGTAGGTTAACACACGTGCTCACTGGGCACATTAGGCAGATTGTATGAGTCAATGTGCCTCATTCAGCCTTTGGCTTCAATTTCTGTGCTTTATCATCTGCTGACTTTGTGCATCTGCCACATCTTATTATATATAGTGAAATGTTTAATGCCACAGTTAATAACATCCTTGTGAAACCATGATACAATGGAAACTAGGGCTGCAACTAAAGATTATTGGTTTTGTCAAGTAATCTGGCATTTAATCTTGATTAAGTGATCAATCGTTTGTCAGACAATATTTAAAAAGCTCATCCCAAATTCCCCAAACCCAAAATTATGTTGTCAGAACTCGTTTTTGTTTGATCAACGGTCCAAAAGGTGATGATCAATTAATCGTTTGAGCTTTAATGGCCTCATGTTGCTGTTTAACAATTTTATGATTGCCATTTTCTCCCGAAAATCATCATTATTATTTTTTTTAATGTTTAACATTATACTATTAAAAGTTTTATTGATCTTTTATAATGCCCTGCCAGTGTTTATAATAGCTCACACATATTTATAATGTGACCATTAACCTTTCAGTCAACACATAATATTACTATTACTTTAGTAGTATTACTGCAGCTGTGGAAGTATATGGAACTTGCAGCAAAATGTTTTTAAATCCTTCTGATTTTATAGTATAACAGCTAATTACAATAAACAAAAACTTCTACATGAAGCTTATTTTGCATTGATACTGTACCTTGTGATCATCCGTAAACCCTCACTGATGACGGTATGGTTCATGTGTTCTGCATCAAGTCGGCTCCAAGGTATAATGGCCTTTTAAATGAAGGAAGATACTGCATGTTCAGTACTTCTTTCATGGATGAAGTGACAAACAATTCTCCTTCATTTGAATTTTACGTCCAGTACCAATTTTTCCTTAAAACTATGGTATGCATATACCTGCTATTTATATTCATATGCTTTTATATGCCCTTTAAACCCCTTCTACTGTAGTATATTTAGAATATTTTCCCTGATGTGAATGTCTCTGTGGGACTGTGAATGCAATATGATGTCATTCTGGCTGCTCCCCAAGCTCATTTCACGCACCATATAACAAACACACACACACACACACACACACACACACACATACACAGTATCTTTCCCTCTATCTATAACCACATTCACACTGGCTAACGCACTTCACTGTCTGCCTTTACTAAAACAAACCAAAATGTTGTGAATCCTACAAAGGGATTGGCTACCAGAACCAATTCAGATCCTTGACCCCTGACCTTTGTCCTGTAATCAGGTGCGTAACGAGATGGAGACCCTGGTAAGGGAGCATGGAGTAAACTCTTTCCAGATGTTCATGGCCTACAAAGATATGATGATGCTGCGAGACTCAGAGCTCTACCAGACGCTGCAGACCTGTAAGGACATCGGGGCCATCGCTCGCGTCCATGCTGAGAACGGAGAGCTGGTGGCAGAGGTGCATATCCCACAAACACTCAAATAACCACAACCAAATAGCTACACTTCCTCCATATTTTCCCTTCAATAAGAGATGTTCAGCATAGTGAAGACTTGTGATGAGTTCCGTCTGTCATGAAAATGTATTTATTGCTGAATACTTTTACATTATTGTAATAGTATGCTTGACATTAACTATTTTGACCACTTCCGTAGAAACATTGTAGAAGCTGTAATCATCTGTGTGTTTTAAATAGTGAGGAAACAATTTCAAAATTGAACTTGTGTTGACGTGTGTGTGTGTGTGTTGTTAAGAGTGCCAAAGAGGCTCTGGATTTGGGCATCAGTGGACCGGAGGGTATTGAGATTAGTCGACCAGAGGAGGTAATTATACATCGGAGGTTATTTTACTTATTTATGTTTCATTCAGACATTGTCCTGCTAAAGTTGAAGTTAAAGAAGCATTTTGGATTTTATTTACTGCTTTTCTTCATACAAAACTTGTATGGATGATGCATTCTGGTGCTCTATTTAAAAACACTGACTGGCTGAATGTTATTATTAAGATGATACATTTGATACACAAAGATCCAACTTTCCTCAGTTATTGTTTTACAGTGAATTCCCATCAGGATAAATATACAACATATACATATTACAGGTACAGGCCTAATATCTAAATGTCTATTGAATACTTATTAAACTCTTCATTTTGTTATTCTGTCTCTGTCTTATTGTCTACAGCTGGAGTCTGAGGCTACTCACAGAGCTGTCACCATTGCCAACAGGGTAAACAGACACAAAACCAGATTTTAACATCCTGTCTGTGTGCAGGTGTACATCTCTAATAAATTAATGAATGCACTTGTGATTGCAGGCTCGCTGCCCAATCTACCTGGTGAATGTGTCCAGTATGTCTGCTGGAGACATGATTGCTGCTGCTAAGATGCAAGGTGAGTTGCAGTAAACAAAAAAACACCAGCATTACGATTTTGAGATTGATAGATGATATGGTGAAGATTATCTTGTAACAAACCACTTGCCTCTTTTGTTTTCTTTCTGTTCTGTCTCTGCAGGTAAGGTGGTCCATGCAGAGACCACGGTAGCTCATGCGGTGCTGAATGGGATGCAGTATTACCACCAGGACTGGGCTCACGCTGCTGCCCACGTCGTTGTCCCTCCCCTCCGCCTTGACCCCAACACACCCAGTTACCTCATGGGCCTGCTGGGCAAGTATGTGCTAAGTACAGATGTACATGTTCTTGTAAAAAGTGCCCCAAAAATATATATATTTTTATCATGCAGAAGATAATTGATTAGTGTTAATATACACAATATGCATATCTTGTTTTCAGTGACACTCTGAGTGTTGTGGCATCAGAGCACCGTCCATTTAACATCAAGCAGAGGGCTTTAGGCAAGGAGGACTTCACAAAGATTCCTCATGGAGTGGCAGGAGTCCAGGACAGGATGAGTGTTATTTGGGAGAGGGGAGTGGTACGTACTCACATACATACATTAATGTTGTTTATACAGTAACAGGAAGGGACCACCCTAGGTTTTGTTGCAGAGCAGCAACTGCAAATACTTTCACAGTATAATTTTATAGTAAGGGAAAATATTAAAACTTTGGAAAGTGTTTTGAGCTGATAACAGAAAGATGTGTAGGTTGTGATTTTATACAAACTGTAGACGACTACGAACAACTTCAGCTTTATTTTTTTGGGTGCAGTGTCCTTTCACTGTCAATTTGTGTTTGTGTTTGCACTGCTTATATTTAGTGCCTCCCTCTAAGACTACCCCTAAACAATAAAGTCCAAACCTGAGCGTTGCCTAAAACAAGCAGCCAAACCAAGCCCCACAAAATGATACTGCAAAGTATCTTCTGACATGAACTGAAAATCCAAGATTAATAAATTTATCAATAATCTTTTTCAATGCGTTATTACCTGCAGGTTACAGGAAAAATGGATGAGAATCGTTTTGTGGCAGTGACGAGCTCTAACGCAGCAAAGATCTACAACCTGTACCCACGCAAGGGTCGTATTATCCCCGGGGCTGACGCCGATGTGGTGGTCTGGGACCCAGATGCAACAAGGTACGCAATTACAACCTAAAGAAGTGGCTCACAAACACAGATTACTGCTTGAATTAATGCAGAACAAACACACTGGTATTAAATGGCTCTTCTGTCTGTGCAGGACGATCTCTGTGAGCACTCAGGTGCAAGGCGGAGACTTCAACCTGTACGAGGGAGTGCGCTGCCACGGCGTTCCCCTGGTCACCATCAGCCGAGGACGTTTGGTGTGTGAGAACGGTGTGTTTATGTGTGCTGAGGGCTCCGGAAAGTTCTACCCGCAGCGCACCTTCCCCGACTACCTCTACAAGAAGATGGTGCAGAGAGAAAAGGTGTTCACTGTCATTCATTCACATCTGTGTTTCTGTCCTCACTTTATAAAGACTGAATCAAAACATGTGACTGAAAGTTTCTCTATAGTCTTAGTAGTTCTGACAAAAAAACAGGACTCACGCTGTGCTATGCTGTGTCAGCCTACAGCGAACCTAGTGTAAACATGCCCATCATGCTCTTTTTAACTGCACTGATTTGACAGTCTATATAAAGGATTTAATGCTCATCCTCTCTCTGCACGCTGACACAGTTTTTCCACTGCTGCTCTCTGCAAAAACATCCTCCATCCCTGCAGAGGGTTCGGTTCTGCTTTGTTTTAGGTACACTGGATGGTTTATTCTGCTAACTTATGGGTCTTACTTTCCTGTGCTTTTTTGTGTCTTCATATATGTGCTGGATAGGAAGTGTACTCACAGTTATATATCCCAGAATTACAGATTTGTCTCATCCCATGTTTTTATACATAGGGCTTGTTATTTATAAAGAATTCCTCACTGTTTCAAATAGGGAAATTAAAATTTTAGGAAGCACACGCTGTAGTTTTCTATCTATTTTTAATTTAAAAACTGGGTATTTTGCAACAGAAATGCAGCAGCGTATGGGTGCATAGGGATAAAATATCTGGGTCAGCTGGTCTGCTCCTTATTAATATTTTTCTGTAAAAGCCAAAAAACTATGAGCTTTAGTCTACTCTTGAGGGATGCTTCTTAAGATAAGAACCAACATAACTGTCAAGTCAAATAAGGTTATTGTCATCTCCATTTGCAACTAATGATTAGATAATTATTGACAGTTCTATTATTATCAAATCTATTACTCAATACTCCCCTCCAAAAACACCAGATGATAAAGTTTGTGCTCATGTTCCTTCATGAAAAGGACAGCTCCCAAAAGTTAAACCAGAGATCCAAGTAAAGAACCAGTTCTAGTTTGATCACGACTAGGATGATTAAAAATATAATTACAAATCCCTTTTCCAGGCATGTATCTATGTGTGTGTTCTGTAGTTATTCTTTACCTTTCACCTCTTTCCTCTCTGTTTCAGACTCAGGCTTATAAGGGGGTTGCCAGGGATCCCTACTCTGGTGATGTGGCTAAGGTGGCAAACACTATGAAGAAGGAGCTTGGTTTGGGCCCCATAGACGGAGAGTCTCCCAACAAAGCCTGTCTTCGGGTGCACCAGGGAGTCCGAGACCTCCACGAGTCCTCCTTTAGCCTCTCAGGTAGGCTGGATTAAAACTAATAACATTGTAGTTGATTAGTAAAAAACCCTTATTATATATTAATTATAGTTTTGGTGATTTTTGTGTGGTGAAACTGAAGGAGGAATTTTTCTCTCAGGATCTCAGGTTGATGACCACATCCCGAAGAGGTCCTCGGCTCGGATTCTGGCCCCTCCTGGCGGTCGCTCCAGCGGTATCTGGTAATCACTGGTGCTGGAGCTTCATCCGTCCGACCCTCCTTGTTTTGTATAATTCTGAGCAACCAGGAAAACTGCACTGATTTTCAATCACAGGATTAAGAGGGAACAATAAATTCAAGCATGTGTCTGTGATCGGTGAAGACCTAACTGACGATCAGTGATCTGCCAAAGTGACTTTTGTAAAAATCTAATTTGTGTCTTAATTGGAGTGACTGACCTGATTAATTCCACGAGAGTGAAGGACTGTCTTTGAATTTAAAATGTTTTGCCAAATTCAAGCTGATCATACTAGCACTGACAAAGTCTACTCATTATCACCCTGCTCGTATCCCGCGAAGAAACACAAACTTAACAAACTGTGAAAGATCAAAACCAGTACAGTTTTTGATGGTTTGAACTGGTGATGTTGACTGAATTATTTAAACAGTAGAATCAGTGATATATCTATTATACCCCTGTCACACACACAAACATACAGTACACTGTAGACACAATAGCTTTAGACTCATTTGAGGATGTGTGTGGATTCTGTTTGTGATTAAACACCCACTGTGCTTGGCTTCCTGCTGCACCGTGGGTTCCTCCACTGTTTTTATTTCCAATGGATGAACTGTGCTGTGTGGTGGTGAAATCCAACTGCTTCGAACACCGTGTGATCTTACAGCTACACGCTCTAAATAGAGTCAGACTTGACCTTATCCATCCTTATGCTTTCACTGCCTCTCACAGAAACGACACTCACATATCCCAGAAACTGGGATTATAACTCTGTTCCCAGTACTGATCCCACAACAGCTAAATGTAGGCATATCTGTGATGGAAACGTGGTATGTATAAACCTTGCAAAGTGCTGGAAGACTGAAGAGAAGTCAGTTTAGTTTCTTAAAGGAAGGATGAAGCGTACATGATTTAAAGATCACAGTGGGGATAACAAGACGGATAAGCTTTCTATGACTTTGCTACTGATAGCACAGAACATAAAAATAATTCTTGATACAATTTACATCGCCTTCTTATTCACCAGATCATTTAGAGCCTTCTGAGTGAAAACAGCATCTGTTTGAAGACACCAGGGAGCTAATTTATCAAAATGTGTTTTTAAAGGTCCAGTGTTTAATATTTAGGAGGATCTATTAACAGAAATTCATGTTTTTAGTGGTGTATAAAGAAAAGTGAAATTTGGACAAATGGAGGACCACACGTATTATTTAGCACAAGAGCCAACAGAGCGTGTCGGTGACAATATCTTCTCCTATGCACTTGGAAAGGGAGGCTGAGACGTTGGTTGCAATTTGCAACCCTCAACACTAGATGCCACTAAAACCTGGACACTGAACCTTTCACAAGTGGCTTAACAACAAAAGACTTTCTTTTAAGAGCAAGAACATTGTTAGATGTATGTGAAACTCACTTGAAAATATTGGATAATCCTATATATTAACTCTCAGTATTAGACAGATTGGATCTAATTTGGCAAGTGGCTTACCACAGGGAACTTGTATCAAACACAAGAAGCAGCATAAATCTGATTCTGCAAAAACAAAAACGAATTATATAATGTTGTTGTGTTTCAGTAGCATCTTATGATCTGCATTTTGAAAATAAAAATGAAGTGGGATTGTTTTTAGAGCAGTGTGTCTCTACAGAGCAGGAAGATTGAGCTGCACAGTTAAGAAAATCACTGATCCTCTCACCTCCTGATGATGTCTCATTCCTGCCTAGCAGTATTATATTTATACATGATCACGTCTTCTCGTCTGTGAACTAAATATTTAGGGTGTTTATTTGTTTTTTTTTTAGTTGAAAGAATAAATGTGCCAATGTGAATCACCCGTGCCACACCCCACACCCATGCATGAAGAGCACCACAAGGAGAGGGAGGAGGGACATCTCTCCTGAATGCTGCAGGCTCACAACAACTGGTGCTGTTTTTTTTACGATTACCTACGATGACGTTATTTTATTGTTGGATGGTTTTGTTGTTATGAAGGCACTGTGACTGGTCAGTGGCTGTGTGTTTGTAGATTCTTGTTGTGTTGGACAGTGAACCTGTTGAATCTGTAAGTGGCTGCTTGTTTCTTACCACAAGAGTAACAGCAAAAAAATAAAGTGAAAAAAACCCATCTTGAGTCGTCCTATGTGTTACCTGTTCCTAAAATGCCAAGATTTGTTGTCACAAATGCAAAAGAAAAAGTACAATAAGAGATAATAAAAGAGACTCCTAAATAAAGGTTATTCTAAGAGTGAGTGACATGCTCACTACTGACATTATTGTTCTCTTCCCTGATAAAAAAAAAGAACATATGAAGAAAGTTAGTGACAAGATCCCTCTTTACAAGCAAATGTTACAAAAACTAAATATTGAAGATCATAATAATAAGATATTTCTCTGTGGTAGCCTTTTTTGCTGAATTATATGACCTGAAAAAGAAGCAAAGAGTATACATACACTCACTGGCACCCAGTGGTAGAAAGTAACTAAATACATTTACTCAAGTACTGTACTTAAATACAATGTTGAGGTGCTTGTACATTACTTGAGTATTTGTATTTTATTCTCCTTGTGCTTCACTGCATTTATTTGATGACTTTACTTACTAGATACTTTGCAGATTAAGATTATTCATACAAAATATAAGTCAACTAATATCATATATTGTTATAGATTAAGATTAGATGAAGATGAAAATTTTATATATATTACACACAATCGAATACATTTTGAGCATACAATCTAGTGAAACACTGTATATACATATATATATATATATATATCAGTATATAAAACATGAAAGTGAGGTACACATAAATGCATCAATATTTATCATCGCAAATATATATTTTTCCTAATGGGCCATACTGCACAATGAGTACTTTTACGTTTGGCACGTAAATGCTAATGCTTTTGTACTTGTATGCAGGCCTTTGAGTTGTTGTAACCATAGACTGGGTGGGACAGATATACCAACCCTGTGGTATTACTACTTTTAAGTAAAATAACTGCGTACTTCTTCCGCTAGTGCTTATACCTAATATGTTGTTGATATTTATTATGACACATGGGCAAAATTATATGTGAAATTTGTTTTAAAGAAAGTGAATAAACTGAAGCGCTTTGGGTCAGATTTAACCGTCGGACCTTATCTCCGCCATGGCTGCTCACGAGACACCAGTGTCACTGAAACTAATGTAAAAACCTGCAACTATACTGCGCATGCGCACTCCTAACGGCTTAGGCGTGCTCAGTCTCGCGCAGCTTGCCGAGGCACAGTCGGGGTTATAGCAACAGAAAAGATCATCATCAGACACAACGGGACGGCACAGAGAGGGACACTGTCGCACTTCAGTGAGTAATATTAACTCAACCTAACTTAAAATGTGCTTCTTTACGTTTGAAATCATTTGATTTAAGGGCCTGTTTGATTTATGTCTCACGTAAATACTTTGTATTATCCCGTAGGTGGAGATAATTCTTCCACTGGTGATGTGCGTGTGTATTATCGTAAAGGCCTTCAGACGTGAGGCTACTGAAAGTCCTGATTACAGTTAACTACACTTGGATGTATTTTGAGCTCGCTAATATCGCTGCGGGGTGAAATTAAATTGGAAGTGGAAAGTGTTTACATTCAGAAACATCAGCCAGTCGCAACCAGCGTTAGCGGTGTAGTTAGCTAGGAGCTAGCAGCTTTAACGTTACAGTCACGGTGTGTGTCGCACTGACCGCGGCTGCTTGTCAGATCTCTGCAGGCTGAAACAGACACAAAATAAACACACAGGAGGGTTTACACGCGTTACTACACACTTTTATAATGACTGTATAACGTTAATATTATATCTGATGACACTGAGTGTTACAGTTCAATTCAAAACAAACATGTATACATTGTTATCAACAGAAGGCTGCTTATTGGTGCTCAAATAAACATGTTTGTTTGTGATAAAACTTTCAGATAAAGTAAAGGAGGCTCACTTAAAAGAAATACAGCGCAACTTTAATCAGTTATTAAGATGATGGTTCTTTATGCTCTCTTTGTAAATCTGAAATAGGATCAGTATGTAGATCAACTTTTCTCATGTGATATCAGCCCTGCTGAGGCAACGCATATGTTGACACAGAAGTTGTTAAAGTTACTGATTGGTGCTGCACGTTTTTGGGTCATTTTATAATCAGAAGCTTGTTTTTTTTTTAGCTTAAGTCACTTTTTTTGGACAATGCACTTTTGTTTCTTCTATATTTTAATTGCATTGTATATTTTCTTAATGTTCAAATAAACCTTGCTAAAGGCATTTTCATTTGTAATTTAACTGCAAGCTTCTATATATATCAAAACGTATTAAACAAATGTGATGGGGACAAAATCAGCCATTTCAGAAAGTGGTGGGGACATGTCCCCAATGTAAATGACACCTATGCTGCTACTCCAAAAACAGATTTATGTCAGATTATTATTTAGTTGCTTTAGAAAAAAAACATTATTTTTTATGTTTGTACTGATAATAGGGCTGATCCTCAATAATTTTTCTATTAAGATATTTATTTTGTTGAGGAAATATTGTACTTAATTTTACTCATGCATATTTTTTGAAAAAAGATTTTATCATAGTTGTTTTGAATGTTCTACCTCAGATTTATTAAGTGATGACCACTGTTTGGCATCAAGTGTTTGTTATGTTCTACCACAATTAACCATCTGGTTTCTTTAACTTTCACTCAGGAGCAAAATAGATATGAGAATAGATATGAGATTGTTTATTGTGATAACATTTTTGGGCATATTGCCCAGCCCTAACTGATAACAGAGCGGTTTATCATTGTGCATATACCTTTTTTGTCTGCTAGGAAGCTATGATTTTCATAAATGAAGCCCATGTCAAACGTTTTTCAATTAACGTTAATGTGGAAAACATCTATGCATCCTTTAACAATCTGTGTAATCTTAATTGACAAGAAACTGCTACTTTGTTGTTGTTTAATCAACTTTCTAAAATCATTATTTATTTAATACGTTATAATTCTGGTCCATTGACACACTCAGACATTGTTTTTTATTGGACAAAACCAAAGATGTTCAGTTTAATATCATAGAAGACTGAGAAAACTTCACATTTGAGAAGCTGGAACTGTTGAATTTAAGGATTAGGCAACTAATTGATTATCAAAATAGTTGGCAGACACTTGCTGTCAAGACTAACAGACTAATTGTTTCAGCTCTAATTACAACAATAAGTACAATACAAACATAAACCGACTTAGACAGTGTTCACATGCTATAAAATATGTCCGGTTAAAATGTAAAAGCAGGTTATTTCTAAAACAACATACATTTATAGTTTTATAGTTTAGTTATTGTACAGATCCCTTAAAATCTTTATTTGTGTATTAATTGTTTGTATCATAATCTGGTAGCGGGAACAGGAGGAAAGAGAAAGATTTTAGGAACTGCATTTTTATATTATTACTACATGCTTGTACTTCAATAAGTAGTAGTCATATGCTTAAAAAAAACAGTTGCTGTGGGGTGTTGAAGATCTGGGGAACGCTCTGGAAATAGGGTCAGTCAGTTGGGACAGTCCAGGATTAGGGTTACATGTTTACATTCAGGTGTAATCATGCATCTTATAATAAATCACTGACACAATCCTCAAAGCCTGTAGAGATAATACATGCATTATGACTCTCATCAAAGACAAATTATGATTCAACTGTAGTCATATTTAAACAAAGCCAAGCAGGCATTGTTTGTCTATGAAGCATTCTTCTTAAAACTAGTGCTGTTACCAACCGGTCGAGGCAGATAGCCGCCTGCCTGAGGCTAGGTTCTAACTGCTAAAAGGAAAGATATATTTTCCTTGCCATTGTCGCCAAGTGCTTGCACACAGTGGGAATTCTTGGGTCTCTGTAACTAATATTACAAACAGTAAAGTCTAAACCTGCTATGTGAAAAGTGCAATGAGAAAACGTTTGTTATGAATTGGCACTATATGAATAAAACTGAATCAGTTACTTTGCCAAATACCCTGTTGTTGATAACGTACATCTATTATATTGTTTGAAAGTGACAAGTTCCCAGAGTCTTCTGTGATGTCTTATTTTGTCTGAAGAACACTTTAAAGCCCAAGGAGATTCATTTTATTATCAAATAAGACTAATTAAAGCAGGGAAGCTTCACATTTTAGAAGCTGGAACTGGCATATTTTTGTCCTTTTTGCTTGGAAACCAAACTTTCTGTCAATTATCTTTATTCGTTTCGACAAGTGTTTCACCCTTTTTGATAATTATTTACTGAAAAAATAACTTAACAGCCTGTAGTTATTGGTTGTACTGGGTTAATTTGCTAATAATGGACTGTTTGTCTTGTCACAAAGAGGTCTTTTAGTGGCTTGATAGTTGTTTCTGCTAATGTGTGTGCAGTTTGCTTCACATGTGGACGAGACAGTCAGGGAGAAAAATAAACTCTTACATAAACAGTGGCTTTGCAAATTCTAACCTACAAAATAGTCACCGTTGATTTCTGAGCTAAGGGGACACTGTCTGCCAGCCACCAAAAGAACTGGTGTAACCAGTAGCTTCACCAGCCACAACCAAATTATCAGCATTTGCCTGGTAGATAGTGAAGTGCTTTGTTATTGTTGGATTTTTCAGTGTGCTGAATTGTGTTGTTTTTGATGCCTGTTGGAATCAGATACTGGTGATCTCAGCTGTGTTAGTGAACCATGATGGGTTGCAGCATGTTGGACCTTTGCTAAAAGGATTAACTGAGGCGGAGATTAGTGGCCAAGTGAGTGAACTAGTGACTGGCTGCTAGTTTATCCATGGTGTCTCTCTTTTTAACCCTGTGGAGGAACTGGTAAAGAGGATATTAGGTTGGTTTTATATGTATATACAAATACAAACGTTGGCTACCTTTGGGGAAAATTCTGATTTTTAGAATTGCCAGAGAAGCAACTTTGATGTATGATTATCTTCATAGTGGTGATGGTAGCAGGACTAAAATAACTCTGTCTGCAGGTCTTTCTATAACGTGGTCCACCACAACCTGATTGAACAGTTCAGACCGAACACATACACAGCACAGGTGAGTTTTGCTTTTATATATTTTTTTGCTGGATGGATGGATGGATAGAGGGATGTTTTTTTGCCTGGCCAGGAAGCGGTCAAGCAAACAAGTCTTGTATAGTAGCCGCATACCAGGATTCCTTATTTAATAGCAGTATTAGCACAAAAACTCTTACATTTAAAAAATAATTTAAAAACTTTTTAGAACAAAGTTGCAAAGTGTTTTACATAGTTGAACCAGGATTAAAAAATGTCAGGGCTGTAATGAGGCAATTAAATCAGTCAATTTGAAAATAATGAAATTAAACACCCAACAATACTGTGAAACACAGTATGTGACTCTTATCTTACGGTACCAACGCTGTGAGAGTGGCAGTAGATTAAGTGGTTGAAACATGTACAATTTTAATGAATAAATGATGCAATGTTTTAAATGTGCAATGTGTATGAATTTAAGGGTTAAAAACATTCAAAAAGTCTGTAAAATTATCCGCAGAATCTGGAGAAGTAACAGGTCCGACATTATGTTAAAGGCGTCTATGTATTGTGTTGCAGAGATATCTACTGAAGTTAACATGCTAATGAGCTAGCCCCGGCCCGTACTGTCTACTTTGTCCCCCCACGAGGTGATAGTATAGCCTACGCCCTGTAGTTTCAGCTGAGAGATGTATGCGAGCGGCGAGATCTCTACATTACACAAGCTCTCTTAGCTTTTTTATTCTAATAAATCCACAAAATAAACTCACAAAATGTCAAAAAGGAAATATTCTCAAACCTATTTTTCTTAATTTACATTTTGAGCCGTAAAACCATAAAATACCTCTTGACAGGCTGGACAAGTGGGTGGGATTATCTGATACAGTCCTCAGTTGGTACAGATAATATCTCGAAGGCAGAGGCTATGTTGTTTTCACTGGTGATAATAAATCTGAGCAGATCATCATGACATGACATGCTTTTCTTTGCCTATGTAAAGCACTATGATTTGCCTCTGTGTTTGAAACATGCTCTATAAATAAAGCTTGCCGTGCTTTGCCAGGAGGATGGCGGTGAATGTCTACTCCACATCTATGACCATAGAGAACCTAAGTCGTCATGACATGTTGGCATGGGTCAACGACTCTCTACAGCTCAACTACACAAAGATCGAGCAGCTCGGTTCAGGTAAACACACAAATCTTTTTTTATGTCGAGCTTGAAATTAAATTAAAAATTAAATTTAAAAAGTTCTTAAAGTTAACATGTGTGTTATTTTCCCCTCTAGGTTTTGCTTACTGTCAGTTCATGGACATGCTGTTTCCAGGGTGCATATTGTTGAAGAAAGTCAAATTCAACGCTAAATTGGAACATGAATACATCCACAATTTCAAGGTCTTACAGGCTTCATTCAAGAGAATGAGTGTGGACAAGGTCAGAGCACATACACACACTCATGAACATGCACACAGTCGACTCGATGTGATTAAACAGAGTTAACAGAGAGTTATGTAAGTTGACACAATATACATCAAAGAAAAAGAATGAGATCTTTAAGCATTAGCAAGGCTGGAATTACTATCTTAAGGTAAACCCATTATTGGGGATGTTGCGATACTAGATATTTAGTAGTCGATACCGATACCCGTAACATTCCTTGTTTCTCAATACCAATTCGATACCGTGGTAAAAAATAAAAACAACACACTTAATCCCATGTACTTCAACATACACTCTTTTAATAATAACATATGAACATTACAAAAAAACACTCACCGCTGTGAAAGTTGATTTTAGAGATGATTTAATGCCAATATTCACAAATGAGCAAACTGTTGAAATTATAGCCTTGCACTGTGCATATTTAATTATTAAATTAATTACTTCAAATTCTTTACTTTACAATCTCACAGGTGTGAAATGTTTAAGGGTGGTTACTATCTACACTGAACAACATTATAAGCACAACACTTTTGTTTTTGCCTTTCTCTATGTACACAAAAGGCCTGTTTCTCTCAAATATTGTTCACAAATCTTTTCCAAGATAATCCATCCCTCTCACAGGTGTGGCATATCAAGATGCTGATCAGACAGCGTGGGTATTGCACAATTGTGCCTTAGGCTGGCCACAATAAAAGGCCACTCGAAAAAATAAAGCTGGCCGGCTGTCAAACATTTGATTTTGTTTACGGAAGACTGTAACCGGAAGGTATTTCTAACCACTCTTTTGCATTTACATTTGTGTTCAATGTGGTCACAATGCTTCCCTGACCATCACAGGAGTTTTTGACTGATCGGATCAAAATCTGTCCTCAATGCGTGTTGGGTACACCTGTACTTTCATGTAGTCAAGCACTATCTGAAAGCAATCTGATCACCCAAAACGCATTTTAATGCCAGGTGTAAAGGGAGCCTTAGATCCATATGCAGGGGTCGTCTCTTGAGCTGTTTAAATAACATTATATAGGTCACAGCAGCTCTTCCTCAACACTTTGTCCTCCTCCTTGTATCTCTCTCAGATCATCCCTGTAGAGAGGCTGGTGAAGGGGAAGTTCCAGGACAACTTTGAGTTCCTTCAGTGGTTTAAGAAGTTTTTTGATGCCAACTATGATGGGAAAGAATACGACCCTGTACTGACACGGCAGGGCCAGGAGGGAACGCCACCTCCACCTAACCCAGGTACAAAACTAACACACATACACACTTGTGTGTGTCAGACACAAGCAGCTGTGTGTGAAACACAAAGGCTTCATTTCATTGCTGTCACCTCTTCATGCAACTACATCCCCACCTCTAACCCAGGTGAACTCATTCTCCACAAACCTAAAAGGCCCTCTCGCTCAGGTAACATCACCTGCATCGAGCATGTGTGTGTGTGTGCTTGTTAATGAATGTCTAACCTACATTCAAACTGTGAGTGACTTGGTTCATGGATTGGTCTATTCTGGCTTGATGTGGGCAGCTGCAATTTTTCTAACAAGCACAATATACTTTTTTAATATTTTTCCACAAAATCACAAGTCTTCTGAACATCGGCTCTCGAAAAGCAGTCTTCTCAAGATATCCTGCCTTTTCTCAGTTGATCAGAGTAAGCCAATCTGTTTGGAAATGTTGCATGTAAATAAGTCTGAGAATAGAGGAAAAATTAGGAAGGAAATGTCGCACACAAGTTATCATCAACTGTCTGAGGCAGTAGTGCTCTCAAAAGTATATGTAACTATACATTGTCGAGGTTTTGGTTGCAAACTGTGGTCTTCAACTTTGGTGGTAGGCAACACAAACAATGTTATGGCAGTGATGGGAAAGCCTACATGTGTTGCAGTAAATTGTTGTTCTTTAAGATAATAAAATCAAAGCACACTGCAAAGACATCCTGATGAATCTGTGTGTGTTTGTGAATGTGCGTGTTTTCTTTTGTAGTTCTATGTTTGTAAAAAAAAAAAACAACAACAGTAAGAGTTTTTAAGGCCATGATGCTGAGGAAACTTTGCAAAGTGAGGACATTTTGGCCAGTCCTCATCCCTAGAAGGGGCTTGTTGAAGGCTAGCACCTGGCTTTAAGGTTAGAAGTTAGCTTAGTTTAGAGTAAGATTTATGGTTATTCTTCTGTCTACACTGGCCACACAGCAAAAGCAGCAGATCAGCGGCAATGGCTGTATGTCAATGTCTACACTGCTTCTATTCAGCCACAAGACTTCTGTGCTCTCAGAAGTCTTTGAGAAAACTCACAGCCCAATATAAACCCATCTACTTAAAGCATGAAAATATGCTTTGGGTCACATTTACGTACAAACTGCAAGTAAAACATGTGGCATTACAAGCCCAGTGTAGACAGCTATACTGGTTAAAATGAAGCAAATCTGTTAATGCCTCACAGACTGGTGGCCGATTGAAAACAAAACACCCCAAACTCTTCCATCCAAACATAGAAATATAATTTTGTGTGTGTGTTTCTGTCTCCCAGGCCCCATGAGAACATCTCCCACAGTACCAAAGACTGTTCACGCCCCTCCGAGGCAAATCAACTTAGCACCAGCCCGCAGGACCATTCCCATGGCCCGCAACGGAGGAGACGCTGAGCTCATGGAGCTCAACCAGCAGGTAACACTGCTGTGATCTGATCTGTTCAGCCATTTTTAAAAACACCACACCAAGGTAGCATCTTCCCTGTACAGGTCTCACATTATGCCAAATGGTTCGACACTGCTCTCTCAAAATGAAATGAAAACGCACAGTCACTGTAAACGGTCTGTGCCATGATGAAAACAGGGTGCGGGCGTATTAGGACTGACTCAACAGATTCTCACATTGTTAAAGTCTGATGGTAATTTTAAAAATCATATAGACAAATAAGACATTTTAAAGCTTTATTTGATGCTGTAATAAAACATATATTTCATATTAATAGGATCAAGACTGAGGACATTAGCTCCTCCAAGGACTCCACCCTAGCTGACATAGTATGAATTTGGTGCAAACACACCAAGGCCAGAGCTTATAGTGTTCTCTTGTAATTTTTTATCTTCTGTTGTTTGTCCTATAAATCTTTGCAGTGCTTAATTGTCTTTATTTCTATCTTTGCTCACAGGTGCTCGACCTGAAGCTGACTGTAGAGGGACTGGAGAAGGAGAGGGACTTCTACTTCGGAAAGCTGAGGGACATCGAGCTCATCTGTCAGGAACACGAAAATGATAATAGCCCAGCCCTCAGCAAAATCATGGATACACTGTACGCTACAGAGGTAAATACAGTCACATCACACGCATGGCGCACCCACATCCGGCTGGGAAGTTTTGCATTATAACTGTGTTTACTTGCATGCAATAACAGCAGCACAGATCAGATATGTGTATGAGTGTGTGTATGTAATCTTTACAGTTGGCCCAGTCTTTGATGATATCCCCTACTAATTACTGTGTAGTGTAAATAATAGCACACTTCACAGCATTAGGATGAATCAGTTACTGTACCTTAACAAAACAGTAGTGTTGCACTCAATAACAATTCAGTGAAGGTCATAATCAACACATCTCATATACACAAGAAACCAGGTGACTCAGAGGAGTTACCTGGTTACTGTATACATGCTGAAGGTCAGTAATTTCTCCTCTGACCTTATGTTAGAATGCTAGCACACTTTATTCAACTGTTTTAGTGGTAGAAGACGCTGTTTCCTGACTTTTTTCCAGAGTGAATGCATCTGAATTTTGCAGATAGTCAGACTGTGAGAAGTTTTGATTCAGAATCGGAATCAGCTTTATTGGCCAAGTATGTGTACACATCATAGACTGTATAGGTACACATACAAGGAATTTGACTTGCTCTTAATGTACTTACACAGAACTAGACATACAGCTAAGAACAAGGACAACAAAGCTGAACAAAGGTAAACTTAAAAGCAACAATGAACAACATACAATGTCTATATACAAGTCAGACTGTTTCTGTAAATTGTAATCAAGATAAACAGGGCTGTACCGAATGTCTTGAGGTTTTTGAATGTCTGTCATTATATTTTATGACGTCATCACCCAGTTGCTGTTTGTAAACACACGATTCAAAGTTGGGAGAGAGAGACAGAGGGAGAGAGAGGGCAGCGGTGGTTGAGCGAGCTAGGGAGTGAATGGAGAGAGGGAGCAGCGTTAGCGAGAACAAAGCAGTGAGTCTCAGAAGTAAAATGTGAAGAAATCCTACGGAGTCACCACTGAAATCTAATTCTACAAACAGTGTAATACTAATAATATAAGTGTAGCCTAATCCTTCTCTGCAACTGTGCAGTAATAATGTGTTTAAACAGAATGAAGTCAACATTACGAAAGAAGCTTCAAACTATTCGGGACAGCCCTTAATACAGCTGAGCAATGAGTGTGAAGAGTGTTGGAATATTGAATGATTAATGTAACAGGTTACTTTATATACATGAAGTAGGTGGATATGTCAACTCTATAATCACATTTGGGCCTTAGTTTGTTTCATTCATTCATATTCATTCAAGTGTCTGAGATGATCCTCTTATCCTGGTTGTGGTGTATCTAGAAGTGCTGAGTCAGGAGCAACTGGACATCTTTTAGATTCCTTGAAGACATTTTGCCTTTTATTCAAAAAGCTTCTTCAGCTCTGAACTCTTTGCACTTATAGATATCCCTCTAAGTGTTCTGCAGTCCTTATTGGTGAGCATCTGTGTATTATCAGTTTCCCTCTTTGCGACTGCAGTTTCTTCAGACTTGTCCCCTTGAGCCATCACAGCATTTTACAGTGTTTATGAGGTGTGACAATCACTGAAACTTAAAGTGAACTGTTAGAGCAACATAAAGCATCTCACTGAGGTACGAAGAGCACAGGTAGTCACTGCCTGAATATATGCTTTATCAATACCGAGTAGCATTATGCAAACTCAACAAGGAGGCAAAGTTGTTGTGAAAACACCCTCATTAACATCAAAAAGAAGAGAGTCAGTGGGCTCAAAATCCTCAAAAAACAAATATAACGACTGCTCATCCTGCTGTACACTGACCTCAACCTTCTTTTGCAGGAGGGATTTGCACCACCAGAGGACGAAGATATTGACGAAGGAGCACAAGGAGACCAGGACGAGTTCTGAACTCTTCTTCCTCTCTTTATCACCTTCATCAGCCTGCCCCCACCTCTTACCCTTTAATCTACCCCATCATTATTGTCATAATCCCCCCTTTATTTGATTTTTTTTACACTCCCCCTTTACTTCTCCCATCTTGTCTGCGGCTGTACATTTCCTTACTAGCAAAAGACACTAAACCCAGACCTGTCTGGACCCAGCAACCTGTCTTGGCATATTCGACTTATTCTAACCCGTTCCCAGATGAGTCATCTGCACTGCAGGGCTAGTTTAGCCTGTTATTTTCTGGAAAGGTTTAAAGGGTAATTCTGGTCATTTTAAACCTTGGTCCTATTTTACATATTTTGGGGTCTAATTGAATAATATGTACAAAAAGTTCCCAGGTTTCACACTAAATACTGGAATTACCCTTTAAGGTTAATAGCAACGAGATTACGGGGATCCAGTGCTGACGGCCTGGAGCCAGCAGTGCTATCAATCTGTCTGTCTTAAGAGGCAGGTCACTTTCTCTCACGATGCACTTTGATTGGTCTCCACATATAGATGCAGGCATGCATCTGGGTGTATGCAGAGTTTATATATGAAACCACACAATGTTTTCCACATAATGTGATCAGTTTTTTGGATATTTTGGCTGGAAATTCCAGAAGGTGAGATTATAAATGGTGTTAAGCCTGTTAGAAGAGAGGCCTGCACATATATTTTGAACATTTTGCACTTGTGAACGTACATTTAGCCCGCAGACATATCGCAGACTTTGAACTGCTCACATGTACATGCATAAAGAAGTCATCATTCAAAGATAAAAACATCACAGACTATGCTCTTATCCATCAAGTTGTCCCATCAGAGAGGGTTTGCTCATGAAACTGTTTTAACATTGTGTTTATGAGCCAGCATGATGTATTTATTATTTTATTTATTTATCTTTTTTTTTTAAATCTGTTCTAAACAGTTTCTAGGGGACAAAAATGCGATTTTGGATTTAGAGAAATGTAAGGTCTTGCACTAAATGTAGCGAAACAAATGAACATGAAGTGAATGGTTGCAACCAGAAAGATACAAGAAGATGCTATTTTATATTTTGTAGATTTGTTTTAAAGAGGTTTGTTTTTTATTTGCATTCGATTCCTTAATGGCCAGGTCAGAGGCGTCAGTGTAAAAGTTATTTATCAGACAAGTGTCAAGCTTTGAATACTAAGAATGAACAAATGTAAAAAAACAAAACAAAAAAAATTAAAAACAAAGGTAAGACTAAAGACAGACTACTACTAACACTAATGTTTGACTGTTTTAATTGAGTTAAACATTGTAGCTGCTATAATTTTTTTTCAGTTGCCGTATTTAATTTGTTTTGTTGCAAAGCGTTAAAATGCCACAGTGGCTGCCAAGGATCTGGTTTACTGTGACCAACAGCCAGGCTGAGTGTGATTGACAGTAGTCGGACCAGTCTGAGAGAACAAAAGATCAAACCCTCTCCGTTTGTTGCGATAGCAGCCATGTAATAAACTTGCATCATTTGGAGTCACTGCTGGAATGAAATAAAGCTCTAAGGTTCAAGAAAACTAACAAACCTTTCTGTTGTATGTGTGTGTTTTATCTGCCATATTGCTGCTGTATTTCTTATTTATCAGGACCGGTATTGTATAGTTCTTCTTCCTCCAGCAAACTGATCACATCATGAACACATGCTTGTAGTGCATACACAAGGATGTTAAGTCTTGCCATCATGTTGCAGTGAAATCATTTGTACTAGAAAACATACTTTGGGACCAAGAGAGAGGTGTATTACCAGAGAAAGAAAAGTACAATTGACTTGCATAAGATGAACACATTGACCCAGTAGGACGTCCACTGTGGCCAATGGTTAAGCTTCAGCTCAGATCCAAAGGAGGAGAGAGAGATCCATAGGTTTGTGCCAAACACTAAGTGATTCATTTGAGCGACACTAAGTGCCTCTTTCGAGAGACACTGGAGCCAAAACTCACGTCTGTTCCACAGACTGCAACCAGACAGAAAACTGCAGCATGGTTTAACTTGAGCTGGCTCACTACAACAGAGATCTTTTAGATGAGATAATATGTTTGTTGTGCAGTAGTATATAATTTTTTTGTGTATATATATATATACATACATACATATACACACACACATAACATCAGCTTTTTGTGAGTAGCAAAAGGGAATTGCAACTTAATTTCATTACCCTGTGTGACAATAATAAATAAATTCTACCATGTACCCCTTTATATGTTTGGGACAAAACTCCCAATGGAAACTAGCTTAGTTATTGTTTTGAGTTTATTGATAAATGCTGGTTCAAAACAGACTGGGTTTGAACTGTTCACACGTGTAATTTTTAAATGTATTTTTAGACAAAACTGATTCATATTTCACCCATCACCTTGTTAAATTAAAAATACATACAATTTTGACATACAGGAAACTTAATTAGTTGACAAAAATCTTTTAAGTGTTTTTTTAAGAAAGTCTTGTCCAGTTCAAACTAATGGTCCAAACCATAAACTGTATAAAAAAGACCCTACGGTTCAAACCATTCAAACTTATAAGAAATTTTTGAATGTATTTTTAGACAAAACTGACTGTATATAAAAAGGTTCAAACCTTCAAACTTGTAAGCAGGCGCCATTTTAAAATGTTTTTTTACACAAATCTATGATTCACATTTCACCCATGACCGTGTTAATTCAAAATACATACAATTTTGACATTCAGGAAACTAACCTGCCCAGTAACCAGTAAATGAAACTATACCCCATCAAACCATAGACTTTATCAAACTGGTTTAAACTTGTAAGCAGACGCCATTTTTACTTGGGATGAATCTTTAAGATGTTTTTTTAAGTTCTGTAGAAACGTGTCCAGTACAAAAAACTGTATATAAAAAGGTTCAATCAGATAAATGAAACTAAAGGTAACTAACTGTTTAAAAAAACAAAACATTCAACGCATCACTCTGACGTCATGCCGACAAAGAGACGTGGCACGCGGACGTGTAGCTCGGAGCAGTTGAGCGAGCGCCCAATCGTTCAGTTTCTTTCAGCTGGGAGGAAGTAATCAGGGAAGTCACGGTAACCCGAACTAATAACACCCCATCTGGACCAGAAACATGGCTTCAAATAACGGCTCAGCCGGTAAATGGGAGGTAGTGAAGAAAGGGAAGAAAAGTAATAATAGCGCAGGAGGAGGTAAGAACGCGACTGAGAAGAAACCCGGGGGAAGGAAAGCCCTGGGCGAGTCTAACCAGCCATCCAGAGGTAAGTGAACACGGCCCCTTGTGCTGCTGCTAGCTGCTCCGTGACCCTGAACTCACTTCAAAAGTTCAAATAAAACCTGTGTAGCTGTTTCCACGAAGTAAATTGTCTGTTTTGATATTTACGTTCAGTGTCTAATCGGTAGTTTTAATAATAGATATTAATGATGATTTGACACGCTAGCCACATGCTAGCATAGCATCGCGCAGTGACGTTACTTCCAAGGATATTTTTTTGTTGACCTGTTTGAGGGTTCTTCTTCTCTGCTGTCGCGTTAATTTAAAAATAACAGATAACTGGCCTTTTTTGGTGCATGTGCTCCTGCCACATACGAAGGAAGTGCTAGTCAGTTAGCTTGCTAGCATCCTTGGTGTCAACACAGGCAACGTCATCATTAAGGAGCCGTATCTCTGAAGCATGTGTTAGCAGCTTTGTGACACTTTTGTCTTTCTGTTGCTGTTAAATGCACCTCCAGGGTGTTATTGTCACATGGTAGCTGACCTGTATAACGTTATGCTAATGAATTAGACATGAGCTTAATTACACTCAGCCTACAGAGTCAGCTGCCACTGCTCTGAGCAGTCATTTGTCTACGTGGTGATTTAAATCTAATGTTCCCCCCTTTGCATGAGTTATTAAAGAATTAGGCCGACAATATTCTATATGTTTTTATTGTCAACAACTGCAATGAAAAGAACAAACAAGACATTTCACTGATCATACTAATAAGTAACTTTTTGATTGTATACCTTAACCCCATCTTGATAATTGATTTAACTTAAAAAGGAGCCACATCATTGCGCTGGGTGAACTGGTCCCATAAAGATTAATGCACTAAATGTGTAATAATTTGTTGCTGAAAATGTACTTCATGTTTGATTAACATCTGTTCAACATACAGTCCTCAACTGCTGAATAATATATATTCATGACCCATTTTCCAAGTGTTACGTCTTCAGTTGGAATTAACTGGATTCAGGCAGAGTGCCACAGAGAGTGAAGGGAAGTTGGGAAGTATTGAGAGGCACACTGAAGCATTTCCAGGCGAGCCTTACCGTTTAGTAAAACAGTATAATTATCCATACTCTAATTGAAGTTCTGCACTGTTGCAGTATTGGGTAGATAGAGGTAATGAGAGAGAGAGAGATAGATAGCTAGATAGATAGAGAGATACTTTATTTATCCCGAGGGAAATTCAAGTATCCAGCAGCATACGAAACATACATACATTAAACCTATATTAAAATAGAATTAAAATAACTTATAACACAGTAAAACAGTGCAAAACGGAGTGCAGATGGAGGTAGAAATTGTTCTTTTGTCTATTGTCCTCCCTGCCATGACTAGGAGCTGTTGTACAGTCGGATGGCCAGGGGAATGAAAGAGTCTTTAAGTCTGTTGATGGAGCTGGGCTGGGACAGCAGTCTGCCACCAATGAAGGTGTTGTGCAGAGGGTGGTGGGCTTTGTCCAGTATGGACAGCAGTTTGTCCAGGGTCCTTCTTTCTGCCACTGTCACTAGAGAGTCCAGCTCTGAGACCACCACTGAGCCAGCTCTCCTCATCAGTCTGTCCAGTCGACCGGCGTCTCTCTTCTTGCTGCTTCCTCCCCAGCAAACTACAGCATAAAAGAGGACGCTGGCCACCACAGACTGGTAAAACATCTGCAGCAGTTTTTTGCAGATGTTGAAGGACCCCAGTCTTCTCAGGAAGTACAGACAGCTCTGCCCTTTCCTTTTCTGTCCAGTCCAGCTTGTCATCCAGCTGCAGCCCCAGATATTTGTAAGTCCTGACCACCTCCACATCGACCCCCTCAATGGAAAAAGGTTGGAGATGTGGTTTCTTCCTTCTGAAGTCCACCACCATCTCCTTGGTCTTGGAGGTGTTTAGCTGCAGATGGTTGGTCCTGCACCACCTCACAAAGTCCTCTACCAGGCTCCTGTACTCCTCCTCCTGTCCATCCTTGATACAGCACACCTAGCACACCTAGTTAGTTTTCACCTGTAGTCACGGTCTCGTGACAGACCTAGAGCAGGGATTTGATTACCATCTGACGAAAGTGGGCGACCCAAAAACGCCAGACTTAACTGCTCAGCTGTACGTTAATCAATATGAACCAATTAACCACCACAACTAAGCACAATATCAAAAAGGGCCTGCGGGTGTGTTCTGGTTAATTGCCTTATTTTGAAACCCTATCTTGAAGAGTGGACCCTGTGTTAAAATCTAGTTCTATGTTATCATTGTTGATTTCGTATGTTGCAGATTCTTGAATTCTTTTTAATGAAATTACCATACAGCAAACCTGGAGCTTGGTAGTATAACGCTAGGGCTGAATGTTTAATTAACTGAAATTAGAGCTGCAATGATTAATCCATTTGTTGTCAACTATTACATTTATTGCCAACTCTTTTGATAATCAATTTATAGTTCTGAGACATTTTTACATTCCATCTTCTTAAATGTGAATATTTTCTGGTTTCTTTACTCATCTATGACGGTACACTGAGTATCTTGTGGGAATAAACTTGTTTGATTACGACCTTAGCAAAAATCTATTATTATATTTTTTTCAGTGAAAATTAATTACAAAAATTACCATTCCCACTAAAAACATGACTCGTATATAGGGACCCCATCAGGTTAATCTGCCCATGGAAAAACATCACAGTAAACTTATTAACTCTGGCTGTTTATTGTGTGATGATTTCTTATTGGCCCAACCTAGTAGAACAAAATAGACCTACGACCTCTCATATTTAGCTTACTTGACATTCAGTAAAGCCGCCAGCAACTACCTTCAACTACTGCACCCTCTCCACAGGTATGGCTGCGACTTAAATAATGGGTGACAGAAAAGGTTAGATCTCACTCTGCCACGGCTATTTATTTATGCACCAGTTTTATCAGAACCCGTCCAAAGTCTGTCTTTTCTGATTACAGTGACCATGACTATGGGAAGGTGCTGTAAAAGTTTTGTCTAGAAGAAATACAATGCTGCATTTGGTGTAAAAACTCTCTAATCACCTTTATTTATGTGAGGTATTTCATCTAAATTGCTGTTGACCCAGTGTAACCAGGCTCATTCTTTCCCCTGAAAGTGTGCTTCAGCTTTGCCAGGCTCTACAAACTCTTAGACACGATCAGTAAAGGCTTGTTAGATTATTTCAACAAGCCTTTTTTGCCAAATCTCAGTTCCCTTCCATACTTGAATCATGAGACTGTTATGGTTGAGTTTGTGGTTTTTAACTTGTTCAAAATAATCCTTCAGCCTCATGTTCAGCTTGAGGCTTTTGTATGTG